TGATCGTTTTTTTGAACCCTTTCTTTAATCACACAAGAACAAAGGATTTTATTTTCTTCAAGAACACACCTCTGTTTTATTTAGATACGGATCAAAGAAAGTCAAGAGAGGAGAATGTTTACCGTTGTGTTACATCATCACCGATACAGGTTTGGGTTTTCACCGTCCAGTCAGTTTGAGACAGAAAGACAGGAGCAGAATTTCAACTCAGGGTCTCACAAAACAAAAGGGGTTATGAGTTCTTTAATGCAGTGTTCTGTTTTGGATCATAAAAGACAAATGTTCACAAAAACACTTCTCGTTTTTTCATTTTTCATTTTACACACACAGAGCTTGTGAGTTATTTTCTGCACAAAAAGGACATTTTTCAGACTGGCTGGAAAAAGTTTATTGTACAGCTTTAAACTGTAAAATATTTTGTAAGGTTGAAAAGTTTAATAATCTATAGCTTAACCATTACCTGATCCTAAAACATGTGTTCAGTGTTTGTCAGCCTATCAAAGATGACCTCAAGTCTATAGAACATGACACAAATGTCTGTGCAAACAATATATGACTTCTTCCATACATATTGTAGTTTCTGATTACATATCTGGACGCAGAGGCAGAATTTTAATGATAATAATTTTGCTTTATATTCCCAAACTCTAGGGGGTGTATTGATTTTGGTGGAATCACACATTGTCAGAAATTGCCTTTGAAAGCGTTGAAGGCATAGTTTGAATTTTTAAAGCAGTACTCAGTAATCAATATTTTACCTTCAACAGAAATCACTCAGATGTTTGAATGTCAGGCAGAAGTTCTGTCAGAGGCTACGAGCTAACAGCTAGTCCAAACAAGGCCCAAATCAGAAAAACTAAATGATTTGTGTGTTTCTGGTTTGGATGGATGGATGGATGGATGGATGGATGGATTCCTTCCTTCCTTCCTTCCTTCCTTCCTTCCTTCCTTCCTTCCTTCCTTCCTTCCTTCCTTCCTTCCTTCCTTCCTTCCTTCCTTCCTGTGTGAGGGGTACAACATGACTCCATTTTGAAAGTAATCAATTCTTTTACAGCAAGTACTGGGTATATCTACAACTGAATCAGTTTAATTATATTTAATTCAAAAAGTCTGTTGAACCAAATTAAGTAAAAACAAAAATGGCTATAGCACAATCAATTTTACAGATGAACTAAAAACAGATGTGGTAGTAGCTGTATGTCATTTATGACACATACTGTAAGAGCTAACACATACTATTGTTACTAAAAACTATTTTTATTCATTAAAAACTACAACAGGTGTCATAGCAGCAAATCTACACAATAATACATTTTTAAAAAAGACTCGCAGGACTCAAGGAGGCACAGACAACACTTTGAGTGACAACAGTAATATGGTCTAGAGCTCAGTAATGTCAGGCTGCTGGAGGAATGAAAACTGCAGGAAAATAAAGGCTGAGGTGAACGAGGAAAGTGGAAACACCTGAGATGAACACAGACTGGGAACAGGTGAGAGTGGGCGTGGCAGGACTGAGGAGCAGGGTCTAAACTGAGGGAGAGTGAGAGAAGGGGAAGCTAAAATAATGCAAACATAAAATAAATCTAACCACGAAACATAAACTTTACAATCAGCACCATCAAAATCTCAGATCTTCACAGCTTTTCAATGAGATTGTGCAAATTATTCACAAGGGTTCGCCAAAATGGTAAAGACGTGACACCTGCTCAGCATAAAATAATCTTAATCTAAAACTGGCATGAAAGGTGGCGGGCGGCATGCATTCCTTCAAGAAATTCTGTCACCAGAGTCTAGATTAGTGTAATATTTAGGAATAAAGTTAATCTTATCTGTGCTCACCAAAATGGATCACTTTTAAATAATTTTAAATATTGTAAATTAAAGTTTTGCTACATTAAAAAAAAATGTCCCTTTGTGACCTTGGAGTTTATATACAGTACTTTGCTTGCTGGGTCTACTGTAAAATGCACACTAAAGGCCTTGAACAATAAACAAGTTGAAGTATTAATTTATTTGACTGTAAATGGATCTAGAATTAATCCTTAACTGCATTTCAATCAACTTGTATAAAAACCTTAGCCGTATTAGGAGTATTTTTCATGACAGACACACATTTTGATCTCCAAGGAGGCATTTTAAAAAGAGCGAGCTGACGTGTCTCCTGTAATTGGCAGCTGAAAGATGTTAGCTGTCACCAGTAAAACTGATTAAACTGTCACTTTAATAGATGCAGCTGCTGTACACACGCAGTCACTTTCTATTTCTTCATCTTCCACATGATATCCATCTGATAATGTGTTTGTGGAGCTGACAGCGAGTGCAGCGCTCTCTCCTCCACCTTGAGCAGGTTCCATTTTGCGCGCGGTATAACGAGCACACTCGGCCCCTCTGCACGGCGTCGCCGCCAAGCAACACGTTTTCTTCAGTGCAGATCACCTGAAGGACACGAGCTCCTCAGACACGCGCCAGGCAAAGTTCCCTTTGAAGAGACACTTGTGTTTGACTTCCCATCACAGAGCACATCTATAAGTCTGGGGAGGTAATATATGAACAAATCAGCTCATTTTCACATCAGATCTCATCCTGCTGAGGTTCTACAAGTCTACCTTTTCAGATTAGAACCCATGGACAATAGAGGAACCTCTTTGACATAATGCCAAACTCTCATCCAAATACTAATGCACATTTATTCTCTTATTATCTCCTTCAACTGGAATGGACCTGTGTGCTTTTTTCTTGACTTTGCTGAGGTCATGAACAGTCATCAGCTCCTTCAGACACTTCTCTCTGTGTGCACAAGGGGTTGCTGTTACCTCATGGTTCAGCTGAACTCAGCAGTTAAATAAATACAGATCCACCTGCTCAGTGTGGTGAGTCTGCAATGAGCAGAACGTGTGAACTGTGAGTATGAAACGAGCACATAATGAGAAGTGTCTCTCTGCTACGAGGAAGGTTCTGCCTCCTTCCTGAGCCACCAGGTTCATTCAGATCGATTGTTTAAATACTACAGGGCCTTCTTGATCTCACGCATCTCCAAGTGTGAATTGTTTGTCTGCACTGATGTGTCAACATCACACTTCAGCTGTTTGCATAATTAGGCTTCCACAAGCTAAAATTGATGCCAGAACTCTTAATTATGGACCTCTCTGTCAATGCAAGATGCCTGAAAACTGATGACAAGAGGTGAGTTTGAAATACGCTGCCATTATTTTTAATTATGTCGTAAATTAGACGGCATGTTTCCAACAGCGCATCTGAGCTCCTCGGGTCACTCTTCTTGTTTAAAAGGATATTTAAGACTTTGTGAAGTGGAGTTCTGTGAAAAACTGATAATATGTTACTGGTGTCGTGATCCTGAGGTGTTTGTGTTTTGCACTTCTCTTGTTTATTTGTCACACTTTTTCTTGTTGTTCTTTAGGGTTCAGTACGATTCAGTTAGCTCAGTTTTCCCCGTGTGTCAGTGGACGCACAGCGTTTGCTGCCCAGGTGCCAAAGCAGTGAGTCTGGTGCAAGCGGTTTGCATTCCATTTGAAATGGTGTTTTAGCTGAGGCATCAGCCGAATGCCCCGCTCAAATCAAGCGGCTAAACCAGCTAAAGCAAGTGGCTTTTTGTAAAAAAAAAAAAAAAAAGAAATATAACAAAACAGAAAGTTGTTTATACCAAGCTCCAAAGGTGATAAATAAAATCAGTTAATTAGCTGAATGTGCTCAATTACAGGTTTTAACTAAGATTTTCAGTGTTTTTGGTCTCTGGTGCACATTCATGTTGTTTAAAGGACTGAATAAACACTGATGGGTCATTTCTGATTTAAGCTGAAACCTCCTCCCACCAGTAAAAGCTTTGGTCTCCATTTAAAAGGAGGCTCCTCCCTTTGCAGCACGCCATCCCTTCTGTGTGTGTTGCCCGTCTGACTCAAAAAGCATCTGCACATTGATCAGTGTTTTTATTTTACTCACCTGCCTGTTAATTAGCCCATGTGCAGTCACTCAGCATATCCTTCTATTTTAATTTATCAGTTGTTTTCCTGTATTGGCACCCGTTTTGTCCCATTGAAGCTTTGGTTTTCTCATTTTGACTATAATAAAAGATAAGAACTGCTATGAATTTATGAAAATTGGAGTTGTTTAAAGACAATAAAATTTGCTTTAGAAGTGGTTCCACTCGGACTGCATCCATCCATTCATCCATTTTTGATCCACTTTTCAGGGCAGAGTTGTGAGAGAGCTGGTGTCAACCTCCAGCGGTCACGTTAATGATAATCTAACAGTGGTTCAAAGCCACTTTCAAAGCAGCTTCAGTCTTTAAAATGTGCAAGCAGTTCATGCTAACACAATGTTATAAATGTTTACACCTCTGTCAGTTTTGCACTATATGGTTATTTGAGGAGAAACAGTCTGGAAGTGCCATAGCTAGCTGCTGCTGTTGCATTTGCAAACAAACGCAGAGCTCTAACAATGCCAACCTGATGGCAGTGAAAATGATTAGTATGAAGTTTGTGAGATTAGAGTGGCTTTAAAACAGCGGTGGATCATTTTAGTCCTGGCTGCATTGGGACTAGTCAGCCCCCCACGTGAACTGTTCAAAGAGATATCTACAGCAGGTAAGATAATTACTCTTCAAAACTTTCCCACAGCATCCAAAATGTGCTTTAAATTTGAAATGATGAAATTAATCAAAGTGATTTTAATCCATTTTCAGACCTTAAATATTTTCAGTTTTAAAATCATCACTGGCCTGGATTTCAATCACACGCGCTAAGACACACAACACAACACAGCCATTAAATAAAAATAGGCCTACATGTATTTTTAAAGCCTCACAGTCATTTGGATAATGTCAGCCTTTCCACGTGCAGGCAGAATTCGGTGAGCTTATGTTCCTGAGGACGCCCACGCTCCTGAGAGAAGGAGTGAGGTGAAGAGAGAGATAGGAGGGAGGAAAAAAAAGAAGAGGGGAGGAGGAGGGGGTGCAGGACGCGCATCAGTTCACTGGCGCTCAAATGGGTAATTGCGCGCACACAGACCGCAGGACTGGAGTGAACTGGAGCGGCGACCCCAGCGCGCAGCCGTCCCGCAGCGGAACCGTCCCGCTGGACAGCGGCCCGGTTCGGTCCGAACTGCGGGGAAACTTGGCTCTCAGCATGCGGAGCGACTGTGGAGCTGCAGGCTCGGACTGAGCGCAGCTTGGAGCGCTCTTATCCATTTTTTTTCTCCCTCCATCTCCCCTCACAGAGAATTTTTCTTTCCCTCTCTGACAAATGATGGGTAAGTCTTTATGGGTTTTCCCACACACACATTTTAGTGTCAGTTTCTCTTTATGCTCCTGTAGCTAAGATCAACCTTAGATAAATGTGGCTTTGATGATGACACTTTAAAAAAGAGCTGTTTCTATTTCATGCACCGATTTATTTAAGTTACTCTACATCTGTGTCCAACTGGTCCTCCTGTCCAGATGTAGATATATTTATTTACTTCCCATAAAGTAGCAAACGTCAGCCTGTTATCAATTCTTCATGAAGCAGATCTCAGACATCAGAGCTCAAGCTGAAGCTCTCTGATCTCCTGTGTGAAGAATGAACGTCTTACCTCTACTGATTAGGCAAACAGTTTCCAAAGTCAAAGTCATGTCTTTGATTGCCTGTGCCCCAATCTCTACCCCCAACAGGTTCTGTGATGTTGGACTGGAGGTTATCTTGTCTTCTTCTGCAGGCAGCTGCTTTGCTGCTGCTCAGCGAGGGGGAGAGGATGTGCCCTGCGAGTTGTCGCTGTGAAGGAAAGATTGTTTACTGTGAGTCTGGCATCTTCCAAGACATTCCAGTAAACATCACGATGGGATGCCAAGGACTGTCTCTGCGGTACAACAACCTGCTGGTTCTGCTGCCGTACCAGTTCGCTCATCTCAATCAGCTCATCTGGCTTTACTTGGACCATAACTCCATCAGTGCTATAGACGCTTTGGCCTTCCGTGGCGTCCGCAGACTCAAGGAGCTGATTCTCAGCTCCAATAAAATCACCCATCTACATAATAAAACGTTCAGCGCCATACCCAATCTGAGGAATCTGGATTTATCCTACAATCAGCTGCAGTCTTTGCAACCAGGCCACTTCCACGGCCTGCGTAAGCTGCAGAATCTCCACCTTCGATCCAACGGACTGAGGGAAATCTTTATTCGCACGTTTCTGGAGTGCCGCAGCTTGGAATTTCTAGACTTGGGCTATAATCGCTTGCGAGGTCTGACTCGCACCACGTTTTTAGGGCTGTTCAAGTTGAAGGAGCTTCACTTGGAACACAATCAGTTTTCCAGGATTAATTTCTACATTTTCCCACGCCTAACCAACCTGCAGGCTCTTTATTTACAGTGGAACCGCATCCGATCCATCAGCCAGGGCGCAGCATGGACCTGGCAGAAACTCCAGAAGCTGGACCTGTCTGGGAATGAAATCCAAACGCTGGACCCAAAGGTCTTCCAGTACATGCCGAATTTAGAAATCCTCAATCTCGAATCGAACAAGCTGAGCAGTGTGCCTGTAGAGGCCGTGGCGGCATGGACCTCTCTGACCACCATCAGCCTGGCAGGGAATGCGTGGGACTGCAGCACCAGGATCTGCCCTCTCATGGGCTGGCTCAGGACCCTCCGGGACCTCAAAGACATCAGCATGATTTGCAGCGGCCCCAAGTCTGTGCAGGGCGAACGAGTGGTGGACGTGGTGAGGAATCACTCGATATGCGCAAACGTATCCAACATGTTCTCGACCACGACTCTCACCGCGCTGAGCTCAACCCAAGCAGTGAACGGCACAGCGCGGTTCTCTGAAATTACAGACATGACTCACACTGTGTCACCTTCACAGAAATTGACCACTTCACCTGTCCGCCCAACTGGGACATACCGAAAGACAGCAGAGCCCTCTGTAAGCTCTACACCCCCCTACTCTGCTGAACCCCCCACAGCCTTTACCCCAGAGCTACAGTTTGAACATATGGCTTTCCATAAAATCATTGCAGGCAGCGTAGCCCTGTTCCTGTCGGTGTCATTGATCCTGTTGGTTATTTATGTGTCGTGGAGGCGCTACCCTAACACCATGAGGCAGCTGCAGGAGCACTCAGTCAACCACAAGCGCAGGAAAAAGGCCCACAAGCAGGAGCAGGACCTTAACTCGCAGCTGCAAGAGTACTATCTGAGCTATCATTCAAACTCAGAGACGCTGGACTCCTTGGTGACGGAGAACAGGCCGTGCACGTGCACTATATCCGGATCCATAGAATGTGAGGTGTGAGCGCTCGGCCTTTGAGGAACAAATGGCGAGTTTTGCCAAGCGGAGATAAAAAGGTTTTATCTCTGATTTAAGATTGAATATTCCGCAGCACTAAAGGAAGTACTTGGAGGCTCTGCACAATGTAATTATGTGCACAGAATGGATGATTTGAATGGAGAGATATATTCAGAGAGAACTAATTATCATTCTGATTGACATGAGAACAGTGGTGGGGTTCATCCAGGTTTGCTATCTGTGATCCAAAATCCCGACCGTACAAGTCTGCTCTGCTAAAACTGACCTTATTCTGCGTCAGATTATATCGCCAGGAGCCAACAAAGCCACTTTTTACATTTTGTTATTATTCTAAAGCCTGTAAAGCTTTCAGGATGTGTGTGTTCTCTTTGAGTTTAAGTATGTGTGAGTGTGTCACAGGGATGAGCTGATAATCCTCTGGTTTACTGACGTCTGGTCGGAGGAGTTGCCATGGCGTACCTTTTTCTCACAAATAATTTCAGTCCATTTAAGTTATTTTGCATTTGGCAGACAAGTGCAGCTGTAGCAGTCTCACCGAAGGTTGAGGAACATGCAGACAGAGAGCATCGACTGCAAGATGCCACTCTCCTCATTAAAGAGGCCTCTCTTTTGTTGAAATCATTTTTACCTGATAAAATAAAAAAATGCATTTTAGTTTTATTGTGTAATGAGACAGACAAATTAGGGATTTGAAAACCTCATGAGTCTAATCTCAGGACTGATGTTTTCAGAGATGTACAATTCTGTCAGGTCCATTTAAAGCAAAGTTCAAACATTTTGAAGGTTTTGCAATAAGCTTATGTACAAATAGTATCTTACCTGTAGTAGATAGCTCTTTGGACTCCTTCACTTTGGAGACATGGAATTTAAATGTGATCAGATTAGCTAAAGGCTAGTTTGACTGGGGCCAGGACTAAAGTTGGAAATCTCTCACATCTCAGTATTTTAATGTAAACACAGTTTTAAAACACTTTTACTTTTTAATTACTGTTGCATTATATTCTTCTTCTTTTGGCTTTTCCCTCTTCAGGGGTTGCCACAGCGAGTCGTCCTCCTCCATCTCATTCTGTCTTCTGACACGTTTCCCTCCTCATAGTCTTTGACTAACATTAGCACAATTTCCACCAGCATCCTGTTTGTCAACAGCACCGGTGGCAGTCGTTGTTAACCCACACCTCGACCGATCCAGTATGATGTCGCTTCGATGAACTCACATTATAGTTCTGGCAAAAGTGCTGAAAGTTTCTTCCTGGTAAAAGGGAGTGTTTCCTTTCCACGGTTGCCATTGTGCTTGCTCAGGATGGGAGACTGTGACGAAGTGAAGATTCGAGTCTGCTGGCTTCTTTAGATAGACAACTTTACTAATTGGCTTTTCTATGTATATGAATGTTCCTGTAAAGTGCCCTGAGACAACTTTGTTGTGATTTGGCGCTATATAAATAAACTAAATTGAAAAAGTGTTTTATGTCAGACGCCTTTCCTGATAAAATCCTCCCCATTTCAGAATCAGAATCAGAATGTCTTTAATGTCATTATATGCAAGTACAATGAAATTAAGAGCCACTCCTTTTTTTCAGTGCAAAAACATGCTTAAGAAAAACACACACTAAAAATATAAAAATGTAACACAATATAACAATTTTCAGTCAGGTCATCTGGACAGTTTCTTTTTTTTTTCTGAAACGTTGCACCTTCGTTTGGCATCCGTTCCATCCGCAAGGTTTCAGGAAAAAAAAAAAAAGAAACTGTCCAGATGACCTGACTGAAAATTGTTGGATT